ATGTTGTTTCAACTGGGTTGCGTTCTTTGGATATAATGTTACACACAGATGGTTGTACTGGCTAATATGTAGTAACACATTTTCTTTTCGAAGAAAATCGAGGGCCACGTTGAGTGGGAGTCAGTACCTTGGATCAAAGATCCACATCTAGGCAGCTAGGGAGCTGATTCTATCAGAGATTCAAGAATCGATTCCAAGACGAATGACTCCCCACGCTTCGTATGCCCAGTTGAGCTCCATGAAAATGCTCTCCAAATTCTTCACCACGCCAAACCGTGTCAACCATGGAAACTGCAATAAAAGCGAGTTACTATCGAAATTGACTGAAAAATTCTTGTTAGTTCTCCGATTTAAAAAATCCCGGAAGACGATGTTGCGCAGGAAAAATTGAGTAGCGATGCTCTATTAAAATCGAACAATCCACTTTAATTAAAACATTCCGAACTCGGTCCTCGATAGCTGCAGACTTTTGCCCGCGAATGGCGCATGCGCGAGCGACATCGTTCATCGGTTCGATCCCGAGACTTTTCCCTTGCGCAGTCCTTTGAAACGTCTTGTCTCAAGAGATCAAACTGGTGACTACTTCAAGATCGTTCAAAACAAGTTCGTGTTTGAATACTCGCTCTCTGTCTTCCTCGTCTCCGGATGCAGGTAGCAGGACGTTCGGCGCCTTTTAATTCGTTTTCACCTCGTCCTCTGCCGATCTCTCGCCTATTGTACAGTCTTCTTCTTGTTATCGACAATTTTCATGGTACGAATCGGAAGAGAAGCGCTTGAAAGAGGTTTACGTCATAATCATTACTTTGTTGTCTCTTTCGTTAAATTTACGAAATAAATAGCAAAGCTGAATCCCTTGTTACAAAGTTTTCAGTTATTGTCCTGCTCGAAACTACCATTTACTGGCCAGGTTGATGGATCTACGGTCAAAAATTCCCAGTCAGGATTAAACCTATCGAAAAAGGGAATTGTTGCCGCTATGACGGAAGTCTCGATGCCTTGTTCCAGCAATTTGGAAAGTTAGTTTTTACAAACGTCCGCGTGACAGCCTTCGCGTGTCGATCTCTCTTCCTGATTGAGAGTTTCAATTATTTTTTTTTGGTACTGTATAGATCGACGAGTTGGGTTCGAAAAATTAACGCGCAGTAGTTTATTAAGCTTCCGAATATGACATCTTTTAGAAATAACACTCGTTTGAACGAAAAATAAAATACAGGAACATTTACCACGGTCATTACTCGAGGCAGTGTTGCACCCCTTTTATCTTGCCGGAGTCCAATCGTTCAGGATTGCATAAATTGCGGTGGCTTGTTTGCGCTCTGTTCAGTCTTCTAATGACGGCACTCGAAGCATCTGTTCAATATCTCCGCTCGTAACGATTGTGGGGGGTCTATCGATAATTACGTTACGTACCTGTTAGAGCGGGGAGAAGTTTTCCATTCCGGTTGGATGTACCACCGCTGCACCTAATTCAGATTCTTCGAATTGCCCTTCAAGGGCTTCTGCTTTTTCTTAACGGTAACGCACTCGATAGCGACGAACGGATCGTCTGTTTATTATCGAATCCTCGAATTTTCACCGAAATCATTCCAACGCCGTCGCTGAATTACGTATCGCTTCCGCGTCTCTAATTTTATGTCCGTACATTTACAACCGAGTTCCAATTCTGTTTCTGGCACAACGTAGACGTCATCGATGGCATTGTTGGATTCGCTGCTACTCGAGAACGCCTCCTTTTCTACAGTCTCTCCTAATTGGAGTCTCTTCGCGACGTATTTAATATTATTTTCCCTTTGTATCGATAATGAATTGTATATATTTCTGAGTAACTCCTAACAAAGTATATATGTAGAACAAAACGTCGACGCAGCGTTCCCCTTCGTTGAACCTCATGAATATCCACCCCTGAAATTAACGCTCTTTATTATCAATTTTCTACCGTTCCGTAATTCAATTTCGCTTGTCAAATATTATTCTACAATACGCGGAAAATTCGCCCGTTAGGTGGCCATTTAATTCCGATAATCTGTTGTACAGTATTTCCAATCAGACACGCATTCCCCCACGGATTAATGCTTCGAACCCATCGGCCACCACTACGAACTTTTCAAACGAAAACATTTCGTTGTTAACTTTCGACGTGCGAGGTGAGAGTTAAATGCATGGTCGGGGTTGGGTTAAGCAGCATCAAGTAACACAGCTACCAGGACCATTGTAATCTAAAACGACTTTACAACGAGAGATCGTAAAGGATATATGCCATTAAACGAGAGAAACAGTGAAACACTACTGTTCGTTGCAGTTTCCATTTAAAAAATTTTTTAAGCCAGGTAGATGTAATATTTAGATACCAGGTTTTCCTGCCACTCGATCGACCATTTTTACAAATGATTTCGCGAGGATCCCCTGGTAATTTTCCGTGTTGCGCCAATGACAAATGATTTTGGAACAGTTCAGACAGATGGCCCTGATGTTCGAAAAAAATGTGTCAAACGAACGATGAAGCACGCGAACGATTCCATAAATGTTTCGGAAAGTAACGTTGCCAGAGGGCGTTAGTCCGATTCATAGAATTAATGGCATTATGGATCAATATGTGTACACGAACATATTGAACGACGCTCTATTTCCATTTGCCAACAAACGCATGCCAGAAAATTGGATTCCGCGAGCCGATAACGGCCCGAATCGCACGGCTTGCGGAGCGAAACAGTTTCTGGACGATAAGAATATTAAAATTTAAAATTTGACGTACTCTTTTCGAATAATCTCAAAGTGTCAGATGTGGTCAGGAGTAAAACGACTCGGTACGGATAAGAGTACCGGTGAACAAAATTTTTAAGAACGATTTCAGAGGGGTTCACGCTCGAATTCAAATTTATACGAATTTTACAAACAATAATGGACCATTCGAACGTGTAACATTTTCACCAGAAGACGATAATACCCTGTTCGTACGTGCAATAATCGCGTCATTCCACTTCTCGATGGATTCCATGATATCAGCGCGCGAAAACGAAGCTGCGTTGATCCTCTACACGGATTCGCCCCGGAATTCATAGCTGCATTAATTTCACGCACGACGAAGCACCGTTTAAACGTGAAGTATTCGCGCTAGGTGATGTAACATCTCGAATATGTAACACCTGCGCTTGAACTAGTAGTTGCGTTAATCTTGGAAACGAGTTCGCGCTAGAAATCAGGGGTGGATCGATCTCGTAAACGATAACGCACCGCTCGAACGTGTTAAATTCACCGTGGAGTTTATAATACTCGGTTTCGGGCACTCGAAGTTTACTACTCGATCGTACCAAAACTAATTGTTGTGCAGTTATGCGGTTAGTTTAGCACGGGACAAGGGATACACCTATCGTGACATCTACACTGGCCTTCAGAAAAATGGGGACACTACTTCAAAACGTCATAAATATGGGAGTTTTCAACCGATTTTCATGAAACATCGCCAGGAGTAGTTTTGAAGTGTCCTCTGGGCGTGTACAAAGTTGCATTAGCGAGGGTTGATGCGAAGGGGTTAATTCACCCCTGTGAAGGTGAGGTGGTGGTGAAGGAAAACGGGAATTTTGAAGGTTCCAGGGGTGACGGACGGGGTTGAAAAAATAAAAAATACATTTGGAGCGACTATCCTTGATGACCTCTACAGAATGCACGCATTGAAACCTACCCCTCACAACCCTCCCACCCACCCTAAAATCCACAATTTTTGGACGACAGTCCCAGTATTTTCAAAATAAGAAAGAAAGAAAAACTAATTGCAACATACTTGATAATCGGGGAAAACACGATTTGTTTTAACCGAAGGCAGACGAATGTACTTATATACAGTGTAATGATTTTTATTATTTGTCGGGGGGTCGCGAGGTTTCATTACTTGCGCAGAGGAGTTAGCTTTGTGGTCTTGGTGGAGGAAGGCTGAGGAATTAATCACTTCGCGCGACACTTCGTATTAACCACGATGTATAGACGTTGCGATATATTCCGATACAACGCAGCAAGTGGTTTACACCCTCAGCCATCTGGCCACTCGATTGATGCGCGATTGTACCGATCTCTCTCTCTCTCTCTCGAGGTGTATGCTCTGAATTTAGCCGTGATTCTAGTAATTGAGGGCTGTGCTGCAATAAGCAGCACCATTTTTTTTTATGGTTTTGTGGTTAGACCATAATCACGAATTTAAAAAATTTCTTTTTTTTTTTCATGGTGCAATAGGGAGACAGTTCCGGCAGCTGGGAAACCTGACGGTGTCGATTTAACGGAGACAGAGCATGAAGAAGAACGAATTTTGTACTAATTTTACGATTTTTTGTTTGCATTTTGTTTGTAACTCCCTTAAATTTCAGGTGTCTTTTAAAACGGGGCGCAGTAAGGAGTCAGCTCCAAACAGTAATTCCCTCCCCACCACTCTGAAAAGGAAGGATGGAATCCGGAACGACGTAATTTCAATATAAGATACCTACACCACGATACGAAAAAGAAACAGAAAGAAAATTTCAAAAATCTGAATCTTAGAACGTTTCCTTTAATTTCTATTTTCTAATACCAAAGTAATTATTCCAAATCGTAATGATTCCGAATCGTGACTTTCGAGTCCACTTCTATGAAGTTCGTTTTTTTTTTTTTTTTTTTTTTTTTTGGAAGCTCGTTAAAGACAACTCTACAAGATGGACGTCCAGATTTCAAAAACTGTGGAAAAATTCAGTAAATAAAGGTTGGATCTTGACTAACATCGGTTGTTCCTTAAATGAAATCCGAGTCTTAGTCATAGACCGAGTCTTTAGTCTCAGTCGAGGCTACTAGATTCGCCCTGGCACTCGAGCCGTTAATAAAAAAAAAAGATAAAGCCCTGCTGTCGGTATCACCAACCCAATCGTTTTACCGATCTCTAGCGCGAGTTGACACGAGCGACGATACCCTGCCGCCGTGGAGGGTTTCTCCCGTCGGCGCTCGCCGTTTATTTTCCCGTGGACCATCTTCCGCGCGTATTACACAGCCTACCTCTCTATCTCTCGTAGGCGACGATTCGCATGCATCAAAGCTTCATAATAAATTGAATATCATATCCAACGACGCGTCGAAGAAAACGAAGGAGAAACGGGACAAGAAAGGTGAATAGGGGGTGAGAGGGGGTAGGCGGAGAGGAGGGGTGGAAAGAGGAAAGAAGAAGAGGAAACCCGGAGGTCCTGGACCTGCGCCATGCGAGGCGAGCGTCCCGTCACGGAGCGTTCCGATGCTCGAATCGCTCGACGACCAGCTCGACGCCGTCAGTACACGCGTCTCGACGCCCGGGGATGCGTCCTGTGCCGGAAGCGCAGCGTCGGCTCTCGTTCTAACGGTTTCGAGGACCGATCGCGTTATCCTTCGCTGTTGAAGTGTGTCGTTTCGTGTAAAAAAAAAAAAAAAAAAAGAAAAGAAAAAAAAACCACAAAGAAAAACAATCGATTGTAACACTGTACACATATGACGTGCCGTGTTCATTCGCGAGTATAATGCTACACTATCCTCACGAGGTAATGTCCCGCGATGAGAGTTTCGGGGGAAGGGGGAGGGTTGGTACGATGCAAACTATTGTTTGGATCTGGTATCCGCGATCGAAGCACGAAACAGCAACCGTGTGCGCTCGGATAGGTGCATTATAGTGCATTGCACGATGATCGACAGTTGGGACAGATCAAGGGTGGAAAATAAAAAATGATAACATTGAGTAGCACGGTTTTTAAACTCACTGCGAAATCATGGTGCACCCTCGCGTTTTCTTTTATTTATTTTATATTTATTTTTTATTTATATCTCCGAGAGAACGAACGAATAAAAGATTGCACCATGATTTCAGACACTTGGCAAATGCCGCGGGAAGGCATGGTGTAGACTTGTGGCCCTGGGACGTTCGGTTCCACGATTATCAATACGCGAGGCACGGGTTGGGAATTTCTTTCTGGGGACTGGTCGAACTCGGCTCGAGGGAGACGAGTGGGATACGATGGGTTGAATGATAAAAAATATCGGTCTAGTTTTGTCTGATTTTTGAAATGAACTACCGGAAAAGTCAGGGAGTATGGTCCTCTTCGGTACAATAATCCAATAACGATCCATGGAACAACATTTGCAATTTAATGGTAGACTTGCATTTTGTCCAGAGAAAGAAATGTCTATTCAAAAGAAAAAAAAATTCATATTATGTGACTTCTATTTGTTCGCACAAATTCATTCAAAAATGACGTACACCATTTATATGCAAAACTGTACGCAGAATGTCGAGAATATTTCGTACGCGAGTAATATAAGGAGCACTATGTAAATCATTATAAAAGCACAAAGTTCACCGCTGGAGAATATCTCTTTTCCAACCTCCGACTTCATTTTCGCACCTTCCAGCGACAAATCATGGAAACATAATATCAATATTCCATTCCGTCTAAGTGTATCTATTCCAAATGCGTTTAGCATACAATTCTCCGATATTTGCATACGTGGTAAATGCACGAAATCTGCATTTCAACGATAAGTGCCCCCGCCTGGAAGAAAAAGGGTACAAAGAATCGACCTATCAGCTTTTGTTTTTACGCCGTCCCAGTCGTCGTTCGCTGGAGTAGAGGGAAGATAAACTGTAGGGGATGACCTCTGATCGCGAATCCGCGCAAGAAATGTTATCAATAACCGAGGAATCGCTGTTAGCTCACGGCTAGGTTGATGGATCGTCGTGCGAGAGATCCGACTCGGTTCCCCAAAGGAATCGACAGGGACACGTCACGGTCGTCGGCGCACGTACTGTTACGATCGGTGATTTTCCACCGGGACGATATATCAGCCGGATATTTTCGAACGCGAATTCCCTGTCGAATTCCAAGTGAATTATAAGGATCGTAGGTGCGCGGGAATGGGTTCCCGGGGTAGCCGGGTGCGGCGCGAACGTCCATCGATTTTGCGATAACAATTTGAAAATCGAACCGACGATAATCCGTGTCGCGCGAATTGAATTTTCGATATTTCGCAAGAAAATATTAGCCCAACGGTACCGTCCACCGCCGGTGGAATGTTCGCGTGTACCTCGGACGATCGAAGGACGCTCTCTCGCGTTTCGGATGCCGCGGTTCTTTACGGGGAACGGCAAAAAGGAACAGCCGGAATATCAGAGGCGGATATTTGTACATGACGGGTTTTTGTCAGCGAACGGGGTGACCGTGGACGTCGTCCATGGCTAACGACTTCGCCGCTGACTTTGATAAATCCATCCGTCGACCGAAGATTCGTTCTCGCGACGATATCGGATGCGTATGAATTTTAATATCCCTCGGAACGATCACGTAACGTTTGTCCTTCTTTCCAGACCGCGGAATTCCTGCTTGGAAATTACGGCCGAACGAGCCTCGTTCGCGGCGAGCCCACCTCCCGGGGTTTAAAGTTGGAGATTAGTCGAGAATTTTCTTCGCCCCGTATCGTTCATTCTGCTAAGTGATTGTTATATACTTTCTAAACCATCTATCTTCCCTGAAAGCCACAGAGAGAAATTTTTTAATATTAATCGAATGTAGACTTTCGAGGACAGTATATGTAAATTTTGACCTCAAGATTAATACAATTAGATATTATTATATCGAATTAGGACCACGTACGAAAATTTCACTTTTACTCGGGTTATGGAAAATTGTCTTAGGTCGTTCAAATTATTACTAAATACGTTGATCTGTCACTATCGTGGTAATGATCAAATTGTGTGCGCGACGAGGGTTTATAGAAAATGTCTGGAGCCTTCCGGAACCTAAAAGAAAAGTTTACGAATCTCCGAACACCACAAAAATTACAGATACTTGGGAAAATGATGGAGATATAAACCATACGATCAAAGAATGTATACGGAGCATGCCGGAAAGGATACAAGTTGTCATTAAAGCAAAGGGTGGAGATACAAGATATTAACAATATCATGTACAGTAGTAGTGTATTACGTTAGTAGTTATATTATGTTAGAAAAAAAATATATATATACATATACATGTCGAATTGAGTAACCTCCTCGTTTTCGAAGTCGGTTAAAAATGCTTAAAATTTGTAGTGGTCCTAATTCGGTGGCCAGTGACTGTAGTATCTACTGTAGAATCGTAATATAATGGAAGGGATTGATAACTCCGTGATCGTTCCAACATTTTCTGAAAATTCACGCCAGAGAAAAATGTCATAAGATGAGGAGTCCTTTGATTCGTCGAACGGGAACGGCCCTTTGACATCGGGCAATCGTATTTCTCCAGAGTAACGTTCGCAATCGTCGCGACGAGGCCGGCGGAGTTGTTTCGCAAAAACGGACAGCAGCTTTCAGGCGAGCATTCCAGATAATTAATCTGTTTCCCCGGAGAATAGCCACGTATTTGCATAGCACCGCGTATGCAAATGATACATGCTCCTTCGCGGTACCGAGGTCCAAAATTATTCTTCGGATTATGAAAGATAGGCTAAACGGTCCGGATAGAGGAGCGATCGCTTCTATAAATCCTCCCGAAGGCGCGTAATCACGTGCACATGAAAACACCGCGACAGGATCTCTTTTCGGAGGGAGAAGGATGGATCTCGGGTCACGAGAAATTAGTAGAATAAATATTCGCTATGCTCGAGAAGGGCACACAGTTTCCTGAAGCAAAAAGTTCAGGTATTAGAGAAAATCTGGTCGAAAACCATTTCTGTACCGACAGTTTCATAACGGTATTGCTAATGTTAAGCCTCGTAACTTCATGTACAAACTCTACAAATGTCCCGGTTTGATACGATTAACGCTTGAGAATAAGTAGTCATACTCGGTTCGTAAAAGCGAGGAGTGAATCTGAGAGGGACATTAAGACAGTGATACATCAATGATATTTTCTAGATAATGTATTGTTTACGAAGATAATTAATTGAGGAGAGAAAGGGGTTAGGAAGCGATCGATGAGGAGCGGTTTGTTCTCGTTGATGCACGCTGGTCGGTTTGATACTCGTAATTAATGACCAACGCTGTCGAGAGGACGGGGTGGAAAAATTACGAGTTTGCGTTTTCCTTGATTATCCGATGGCCCCGCCGGAAACGGTATCAGTCGTTAAAATTCCTTAGCCGCCTGGAATTTAAGCCGCCGTTCTTCCGTCATAACGAGGACAAAACGAGGGAATCCGAATTTTTTTTTCGGGATTAGTAAATCATCGAGGAAAGACGTTTCCCTCCGCGGAAGTCGGGGCTGGCCTCTTGTTGAATCGAGATCAACTCATTTCCAGTACAATGCCGAGCGAGCCATTAAGTTCCATTCTTTTTCCGTCCAGTATTCTCCGCGGGAGGATACTCCAGCCGCTTGCAAAGTCACTTCCCCGCTGCCTCGTCGACGGGGGCTTTTAAATCGGTCATAACGTTTGCGCGATTCTTTCTCGAAGAGACAATGTTTGCGGACAAACAGTTCATCGCGGTAAACACACGGAAGAGGGTGCGGAAATGGAATTTCGCTTCGAAAAGTGAAATCCCTCTCGCCCTGGCTCCTACTACCAATCTGCCCCAAGGAGCTCTCAATGGGAACGAAAATCGGATTTCCTAGCGTCGTTTCGCCTCACGTGAAACGATCGCGAAGTGGCTAACAGGCGTAAAAAATCCGTAATTAGATGCACGAACTGTCGAACGAAGGAGCAACGAGTTTCTTTGAATTGGTTGATCGCAACAAAGAGCAATGTCTCCGAAAGGAACAAAATAAGGGAGATCATATCTCAATGTCTTCCAAAATACAAGCTTCTATCGCATTGTTTACTCGAAGAGAGCCATACTCCCTGCCAGTTGAAACATCGTCCATTTAATGAACATTTATTAATAGACTGCGGATCTTTATGCTAACTAGGAATTTATTTTATTCTGTAAATATTATAACATGAACTTTACTTTCAATTTTTTTTTATATTCTTGCATATTGTTTGCATTCTGTAGGGTCTTGAACATTGAAATTTCAAAAAGATCAGCAGTTTATTTATTAATATCCAAGTGTTGCTCGATACCGGTTACCATACGTCTACTCGAGATTTATCATTGACACGTACGAGGCTGAATGAAAATTAATTTTGAAACACAAGCACTTCTTTTTTTCCTTAGTGTCCGAGGGTAATTGAAGTTTGAAAACCACTGGTCCAGGAGGTTGGTAAACAATATGAAACTGTTTTTTAAACGAATTTTAGGACGGAGTCGCGAAATTAGCGTCTCAATGTTCCTGCAAGTAGTATTAACCCTTAAAGCGCGGACCTCGCAGTAGAAAGTGAACGTTCATGGCCAGACATCGGACTGGCACGCATCGTACGTTCCGAACAGTACGAGATAAAGTGTTCCGAAGAACAGCATTACTGTCCACATCTTAAACTACATTTATTGTTACTGTACAAAGGTATCGTGAACGTATGAATCGTTTCCTTTTCATGATTTATTCTCCGTTTTTCCTCTCTTCAACTTCAACTGCAGTTACATTGTGCTCCTAAAGCACCACGTTCGGGCCATGAAATCTTTCCAACCTTTCAACGAATAATTTCATTTTACAATTCATATTTCAGCTTTTGTCGAACGAATAACGAATCTGGACGTTTATTTTACCTTCGTCATTCGTGATTTTTGTCTGAATAAAAATTTGTTCATCCTTGCTTGCATTCGTCGAATATGTGCTAACTAAACAGTCGCAATTTCCCGCATATTTTTACTAGAGAACTGTAACGTTCGATCGAACGAGTTCAAGTAAAACAAAAATCTTGGAATTGTTTTTTAGAATCATTGCTCTGGATCGCTAATCCTTGTGATATTAGGGTGAACAATAAACGTTCGTGCGTTTTTCACGTTGTTTCAGTTTGTGCAATTTTTTGAAGTCATTCAAATTACTTTATACGCAAGTGTTATTATCTTGTAGCTTTCGAAGAGCTCTTTCATATGTAATTGTGGGCTACCTTAATTTAGCGATCGTTTAATTTTTTTCGTTTTAGTAAAATCATGAAAAATTTTTAGATTCGAGTATTTTTTGGAAGCAAGAGTTTAAAGCTACCGAAGCACCAAAGAAAATATTATATTCAATAGCCTTGAACTCTTGTATCCAGAAAGTATTCGAATCTGAACATTTTTCCATGATTTTACTAAAACAAAAAGAAAATAAACGAATTAATGTAGCTAATAATTAAATACGAAAGAGCTTTTCGAAAGCTACAAAGTGATAACGCTTGGGTATAAAGTAATTTTAATGACTTTAAAATATTGTACAAACTGAGATAGCGTAAAAACAGCACGAAGTTTAGGTTCACCCTAATAACTAAATATCGATAAAATATTTCTACGTTCGATGGATATTTCAACACTCCGCCACAATTCTAAATACTCTCGATTGTTACACGCACCGCGAGTGCAACGATCCCTCGAACCCTTTCCCCCGAACATCAAAAAAATTCCTCCGCGCTGGTCCTCGCTCCGAAGGCTTATTTACGCTAGGTTAGGTAATCCTATTCGCAGTCTGCGAACGTAACAACGTTTCCTCCTCGGAGACCCCGCGATAACTCCAGCTATCGCGCCTCGACGATGGCGTAAGAATTTTTCAGACGTCCGCCTGGTGTTCGTAACGCGATATTCGGAGTGTAGATTTTTCTTTCCGCGTCCATCGAAAATCAGGGAGATCTCGTTCGGTTCGCCTTCGACGTGAGCATCGATCACGCGTCGCCGAGATAAGACAAAGAGTTTCTAATCCGACATCGGCGGGGGCGAAACGGAAGAAAAAGGGGTCGGGAGCACGTGTGGCCACGCGAGCATACAGAAATTGCACGTGAACGCGTGTGTCCTGCGAATGAAAGGGGAAAAAAAAAGACGCGTTTAGAGACGAAGAGGGTCGTGGAGTGTACGGGACAAAGAAAGCGGAACTTTTCATTTTCTCTTGTCGTAAATAAGGAGAAGCAGTTGCTTCGCGTTACACGTACACGTGTCTGTACACACACGGTGTCCCCTCTGGAGCGTAGCAGACTATTGGAGGGAAGTGCTGGAGGTTAAATAATGCGATTTCGGGCTTGTTTGTTTCGTGGACTACTTCGTAGAACCGATGTTAACGATTTAATTCGCGTGTATCGTAGGGATCTATCTCCTCGACTTTTTTCTCCGAAGAGCCTCGTTCTTTCTCTAATTACGCCCCAAGGATACTCGACGCGTTTTAATATACTCTGCTTTCTTCGCGCTACGGCTATTACATTCGATTCCACTTTTAAATAAAGAAAAGTGCGGCCGACGAGAACGTATATGTAGGTCAAAACGTCGAAATAAACGAAGGAAAATTGTCCCGAATAATCGGAAAACGTTAAAACCACTTGTGGGCTTACAGACCATGCATATTCATGAACCGCGAGCACAAACTTTTCGAGTATGTAATCCCGCGGCAATTAATTTCTAAAGAACCACGAACACCGCGGCCGACCGTCAAAGAAATTTTCCTAGCCTGAAACTTTCGTTCCTCGGCGCGTTAGTTCCCGACGTTTCTGTAGAGGAACACCGTGTACACGTTGCTCTCGCTGGGCGGCGTTAAATTCTCTGGCGGAAATCACTGCTCCTAAATGGCCCGGGATAGTTATTTACGAGGCGGCGTAAAGGATAATTGTCCTGCGTTTCCTTGGCCGGGCGAGACAGGAGTGCGCAGGAGGGGGGGGGGGTGGTGTACGAGCAAAGTCCCCGATACCGTCTACCGATCTCGCTGCCACGTACATTAGGTGAAATTGCGCGAACTTGGGGCAGCTACACCCCCCGGGGTTGTACGTCGCTTGACAAACGTATCGATTGAGAAAAGAAGAGGAATAAAGAAAATAATAAAAAACGAGCGTAGCGGTTTCGGTGAGCGGATGGGACGGAGCGGCGGCGGGTTGGAGGGAAGAAAGAAACAGCCAGAAAAAGAAGTTCGGGGACGACGGGGAGGGGGTGGTCCGTAGTCTAGGGGGTATATGGGTTGAAGCCGGGAGAGACGAGAGACTGCGGAGGGAGAGAGAGGGAGAGTCATTATTATTGTTCAGGTTTCTTTTCCTTCCACTTTCAGAATGAGGGTGGCACGGCTATTACTGTGCTACGTACTTCTCGAAGACTACAGTACCAATCTCGGCAGGGCTGCAATTACCAGCGACGCCGCGCGCCAGGACGCCTCTGCGACGAATCCCACGCTGCCAGGTACATTTATGCACGCGCCGTACACCCACATACACACGTCCGTTGTACATACGGAAACGCATTGTTATCCTTGCCAAACGCGTACGCGCCCGACCGCGAATCGAACCCCGAGCTCTCGAGCTAATCGCTGCGACGCGATTCGCGGATGCTTTTTATCGTTGAGAGAACCCCCGGCCGGATAATGCGGGCCACACTCGAGCTCGTTTCGCGAAATAAAACTACGGGACGTATACGAAATTTGTATTCGCATATTTCAAGAGGGAGACGAGACCCTGGTTTTATCAACGCAGGGAAAGTTTTATTTTTTGGGAATATATATTCGGGTGAATATATATTCGGCCACGGATTCTTCCATACGATTTTCTGCATTTGTTCATCGGTGCGTCAACACTCTCCTGAACGTACACTTTTCGTAAAGTACGCGCGACGACACGTTACCGTAATTTTTAGAAATTAGAAACTATATTTCCCGATAGACAAAGAAAATATACTTGTCGAATCGAGTAACCTCCTCTTTTTGTTGCTATGTTGTTATGTTTATACGGGCAGGAAAATTAAAATTTAGATATAGTTACCATAATTTTAAGAAATTGAAAACTATATTTCCTAACAAACAAGCAAAACATACTTATCCAATAGAGTAATCTCCTCCTTTTCGAAGTCGGTCAAGAATAATGCATAAACGCCCACATAAATGTCTGAACAAAACGACGTAATGTACCAAGTGTACATCACACCCTCCGCAGATTTAATAATTACTCCCCCCCGGTTCCGAATTAAAAATCAAAATTTCGTGAAGAACGCCTGTGTGTTTCTCGGACCTAGACCGTTGAAAATAAAACTTTTCCTATATGGATTAAGGCAGAGACCGTCTCTTAAATTAGCGTCATTCGCTGAAACTTCGCGCACCGTCTCGTGCAGTTTTATTTTCACTGACAGCTGCAGCGAGAAGAAATATAGTTGCACGCACAAGAGATGGGGCGAAATTCTGTTCGAGTAACGGACAAAAATAGTAGTAGTGCATCTGTGACGTTTAATTATGCACGATTAGATTTACATTCGTGAAATATTTCATTCGACAATTCGAAGTACTAATTTTCGTGTAACCAGTTTATGTAACGCTATACTATATTACTATATTTAAAACGAAAACGTTTGAATTTATACGATCGGCAGACACGAATATTTATTATTTTATTACGAGCATGCTTGGGATGGATTTGTAGGTAGTTGGATATCGACGCAAAGGTTAACGATTCATCGGCATAGCGGGGACGTTAATCGCGTGACAAATCAAGCCAGCTTTCCCTCTTTCTCGTAGTCGTCGCGTTTCGAGTCAGAGAACGTCCCGGGGAAACTTTTTAAAGTCGATTTCTCTCAGGCGTGTCGGTCGTTATTCATGGCCGACTGGCAAATTAATTTTTATGCGTCCAACGGATCGAAGCGAATTACAAGTTTCACGGGATGCAAGGACGGGCTCGGCTCTACGTGCAAACGATTTTTCGGCTTTAGTCCGCGTGTGCCTGGATGATAACTGATAGTGGTCAAATTCCCAAAGCCTATGACTCTATTGCCTCCGAACTCGCATTATTCCTATCGGACTATGAAGCCTTTGGACTTTCATATTCGGCGTCGCGAATCAGTTTGCCCCCCAGATTTTCATATTTCACGATACAGGAGAAATAACAACGTGAATTCCTCGATGCCACTCGGGACATTTCATTAAAACTGGTAAGAAAAAGTAGAAGAGACGACTGCGTCGCTCTACTTCTCGTTATACGGTGTCGAGCACAGTGAAAGAGCCACGGTGAAAAAGTTTAAGGTTTACTTTCGAATGCGTCAAAGATGGATTCAGCGTTTACAAAACGACGAAATATATCCATAGAAACGTACGAGCTGTATTACTCGTCGTTATCTCAAGTAGGAACTATCGTTTGAATGCGAAGAGTACTTCACCGAGTTCTGATACACCGATATTGATTCGAATCCATGCTTGTTATAAAGAAACAATTTTCTGCGCAAGAGACGCATTTCAGTTATATACGTTTCAACCCCCGTTGGGAGTTCGTCCCAAAGAAAGATTCTTTGTGTACAAATAAAACGCAACAGACCAAGTGGAGTACAAACAACGAAATATTATTTTAATAACGTTAAATGTTTGATAATACGTTTCGCTCCTAATTCTCTCGGTAAATACCGCCAACTGCCGAACGAATTTGTCGATTCGAAAAACCTCTCGCTATTTATACACCTACTTCATACTGTTCCATTTATAGACGAACAACACAGAAACTTCCCGAAAACAAGGTGGTATCGCGGCCGCATTTATACAAACCAACTTCGTTGCATTTAAACGCTAACTCCATCCCTCCGATCCATTCGAATATTTTTCCCTCCCGCTTTTCGTTCTCCGCGTTTCCCTCTATTTTGTTTCCTGTCCCTTTCTTCGTTTTTCTATCTTTTTCCCTTTTTTTTTTTGCAACGAGAACGATGGTAGCGGCGCTCGATCTCGACGACGTGCGACAAAGAGTTTAATTACCGCGGCGACTTCGCATGGATAGTGCTCTCGCTCGAGTTACCTAATCGCGGTTTTCATCAGCGGCTTCGGTTTCACCGTGTCGCATTCGCTTCGACCTGTGCTCCCTTTTATTCTACGTGCAGCCCATGACTCGCTGAAAACGCATACACGCGCTATTGGTCGCGCTTGTCTTTCGCCTGCTGTTTTACGAATATAATCGACGACGTTCATCGACAGGTGGAAAGGCGGATGGAGCATTTGGGGAATTCGAATTAGTTACGGTGGTAACCTCGAGGAACGCTCTCCCTTTCTGAAATACTTCGCGAGTGGGAAATGTCGTTACAGAAAGTGTCTCGAAGTAAGCAACTTGGACGGTACCGACTAGTTGCTTATTTCGAGGTAAGTATGCTATTCGGCTTGACTTTGTTCTTGAGCGAGACGACGGGGAAATCTGCAGATACTGTTATTCTTTGGAGAAGGATAGAACGTAACATGCTCTAGTAAAATCGAAATTTTTCGAACCTGTCGTTCAGCGGGCGACTTCAAAGAAAAAGGTGGAGTTAGCGAGTTGCTTATTTCGAGGCGGAAAACGGTTGCTTATTTCCAGACAGTACTGTATTATTGTAGATATAATTTTCAAACTATCGCACGCTTGGCGAGTGGTTCGGTGCACGGTGAGCACGCAAATTAAAGGCGCAACTGCTATGACTCTATTGCCTTCATTTATTGAATTAAGAAAATCGACCAGTGAAACGAGATAAGGATATAAGAAAAGGACGAAGAAGATATTCGAAAAGTTACCTCTTACCAACTATCGAGCGTTTAAAAGCGATGTCACGGTTTTTTGTACGTTCACTGAGAATGCGGAACGAAGAGCCTCGAGTTTTCGAAACATCGATATTGGCCCACTTTGATCGGGGCCCTAGGCAGTTCGTGTTTGCCCGTGGAACAATGCGCCACTAGTTTGAACGCGGCACAGAAAAAGTAATCGTTTCAGAGGAACCCCCGATACGCTCCGATGCGTGGGAGCACCGCGGGAAATTTGTCTTGCAGACGTTCCTCGGATCCCTTGATATCTCGTATGAACCACTTGTTCTTCCACGGGTGAAAAGGATCCGTTTCCTGCAAGATACTCGCGAATCATTGCAAATGTAGCTTCGGCTTGCCAGCGTCTATGTGGAATAGTTTACCGATAAAGACGCTCCGTCTCTGTACTATTTTAGAGGCATTCAGAGGACGAGTGAATGCACCCTTTATGACGCTTATATCTGTTGTATTCAAACACTCCGCGGCTTTCCACTCCGTAAGTAATATTCGTTTTCGTTCTGTATTTTATTAACGATGTTGTTCAACGTATCGAACTAAAAAGGTGTCAAATTATATTTCTTGCAGTAGATTGTCACTTGTAACGGTCAGACCAGAAATATTATTCCACGTTCCATCGAATCTGAGGTGAAATGACAACGTACAACGCGATTCGATATTCCGTTCCTTTCTTTTATCACGGCAACATTGTGGAATAACAGTATTTACCCAGGCCTGCTAGGTGCCAAAGCGAAGTGAAAGCACGTTGCCCCTGTTTCAAGGAACAAACGATCGAATTCGCGGGAAATATCGTCCGAGAGAATGATTCATTTGCGAGTCAAAGAGGAATCCAATCGCTGGTTTGCTGATTTTTCGATCGAGCGAACCGCTGCCGTTTCAAAGAGTCCATCGACGACTCCGCCGTGATGCGACAGTTTGTCGATCATTCTACGCTGTCGCAAATCGCGTATTCCCTGGCTCCAGAGTCCCCTCGTAATCGGATCGATCGGTGGCCCCCGATGATTTTTAATCACTAGCAACAGCCTTCCCTTTCGACGTACCTCCGACAATACGCGGGATGCCTTAACTTTAATTTAAAGTTTCCCAGGATTTAATGACACCCCCGCGGCCGACGTCGTTGCGTTTCGAGCAAAGTTTGATTGGCAGGCGCAAAGTAAATGTCCAATTTATCGACGAATTTTACGTCAATCGGAAGTTTGCGAGTCTCGATCTAGGATTATGGCGTAGCTTCTCTGTATTTTCAAATTAAATCGACATCGAGGCTTGGCATTTACACAGATATGAAAAACGTACATTAAGTCTACATAATTCGTATCGAAGTATTATATAATTAACGTAGTATTGGGTATTCGAAAAAGTTCGAATCAACCGTCATTCGTCAACCAGTCCTCGTTCGATCTTTCTTCGTTTGATCTATCGAGAAAGAATGCCTATGTGACATATTAATATTACAGCAAAATCATATTCTCGATCATTGTTTGGACAAATGTTAGAAATTAATATTTCGTTATTCCAGCTAACAGATATAACGATATAGAAAAATTTATCACGATCACTATGTTCGATGAAGACCTATCCTGAACCGTGATTTTGATTAATATTGGGTATTTGAAAAAGTTCGTGGCGTTTCTCAACCATTTGCATGATTTCGTCGCAT